AAATATGTATCTAAGGATCCACCTTTGATTGAATCTAAGAATACACCTTCAAAATTAGATTATATGCAATCAATTTACTTTATCCACTTTATTTATTTTGATCTATATGATTTGGATGACATGTAAACCAAAAATTAGGCATATTGGGTTGTTTTTACTAATGCATCAAGTGATAGTAAAATTAACGGTTTTATGACAATACAACTAAAGAGACAACGAAAAATATGTGTTAGAAATATTCAAATGTCATAATTTTTATTTTATAGTTGTTTTATATATATATATGGAAATATGTATCTAAGGATCCACCTTTGATTGAATCTAAGAATGCACCTTCAAAATTAGATTATATGCAATCAATTTACTTTATCCACTTTATTTATTTTGATCTATATGATTTGGATGACATGTAAACCAAAAATTAGGCATATTGGGTTGTTTTTACTAATGCATCAAGTGATAGTAAAATTAACGGTTTTATGACAATACAACTAAAGAGACAACGAAAAATATGTGTTAGAAATATTCAAATGTCATAATTTTTATTTTATAGTTGTTTTAAGATATTTAGATCATGATGAATGGAGCGGATCATCTATTGAAATAGCTCACTCTTATTCATTGAGAGGTGCAAACTTAGGTTCAATCTAAGATGGCTCCTTGGAATCATATTTTCCATATATATATATATAGTATTTTTTAAAGTTTTGAGAGTACGAAAGAGCAAGAGTCTTTTAATAAGTGGATAAACACCTCGCACAATTGCTGATAGACACCATGTACTACTATTATTGCAGAGAGACCCCTATGTGAAATCTTTGGACTCTTTTATCCTTTGGACGTCTATTTGTCAAAAAATAATTTTCTCTTTCTCTAACGATAAAAACTTAAAAAAACACTCTGGGGTCTTATATGCAACAATAGGATTGCATGGGGTCTATCCACAATTGGATGATAGTCGTTGGGCCTATTCTCCAATATAATAAGATAAACTTTCTCCCCAATTTCATGCACCTCGACCAATTAATAACATGAAGTGATAAAGAGGTAACTGCAGATGCTTCTCCTGTACTGAAGGTGGTTAAGCACTTATTATCCCTGAACTTCTTTTAAGATAATATAAATTGTTGAATCTAATGATTTTTTAAGTTGTGCATGTTCATAAATAATATAAATAAGGTGCTAGAGTTTATAGTTCAACCTGCAAGGGGCATTGAGGACCTTCATTCAATCTGAGCAAGAAAACATAAAATTATAAATTAGGTGCTTGAATACACAGTGTACTTATTATAATACGGTCCACAATGATGAATTTAATAATATAGAGAATTCAACCCAATTAAAAAAAAAATAAAAAAGGACCTACCCCAATCGTTTCTTAATGCCACCAAGTAACTCTGTCGGATCATGCTTAGTTGCTGTATAAGCATCAATCTTGTTCAACTCCTATAAAGAAGGTTTGATAGGAAAAATTAGGACTGTCATAATTCATAAATTAATTTTTTATCACCATCAAAGACTTAATCTTATCAAAAAATGGAAAAGGCGATGTAATATAACTCCATACTTTGAATACTCAATAAAAGACTAAAAGAAACCAATAATGGAATTAATATACAAATAGTTATGCTCAAATTTCAGTATGATTCTATATGTACCTCAATCCATTTGGTCAGCTTTGGCCTGCCTTTGGTGACGTCATAATTCTTTACCTCTGAAAACAAAGGCTTGAACCTTTCGACAACAAATGGCGCATACGCAATATCCACCTAATAAAAATGATGATTTAGAATATCATTAGATGTCATATCTCATCGATGTAATGAGATGATAATCTTGAAATGCTTGAAGCAATGACGACCTCTAACTTGTTATCAGAATAGAAAACAAGATAATCATTCATCTTTCATACTATATGTAATTATGTCTAAGGTTATATTAATTGCCTCATAAAAGGGGCATCACACAATGAAGGCATAATTCTAAAGCACATAACAGTTTAAATTTTTTGTCAGCCATTAGCAAGTGGACACAAAATATTAAGTCATAATCATCGCGAAATTAAACTTCAACATGATCAGCCAAGTGAGTGTGTGTGTGTTTTGAGGGGTAGAAAAATGAGAATATTCCAAGTCCATATTTTTTTAATACATTAAATATTTACTAGTCAATATAAGTAACATGCACATTTATTTCCAAAGAAAAATTTAAAATAAAAAAACACTTCAACCAACCAAATTCTTACCAGACTAAATTCGCCGAGGAAAAATGGTCCATCAAACTTAGCAAGAGCTTCTTCCAACTTATCGTAAGCAACACCTAATGTACATCAAGTAGTCTAAATTAGTAAGTGTTGATGATCCTTGATCATTCTCTTTCTCCCTCTTCAATAAAAACATAAATCTCATAACTCACCAACTTCATAATGTGCATCCCCTTTAGATTTAATTGCAAAGAAGTTAACTTTATTTAAAGTGTCACTGTAACTCAACAGCTCGGTGGCAAACTCTTGCTTTGTGGGATCCTACAAATCAAAACACATACACACACACACAACTTAGAAACTATGGCTAATATTATCATACTTATGTTGAAATTAGGAAGGATATACATTCTTACTTCCGGAAGCAATTTTGGGCCTTCAAAATTTTCATCAATATAATGGATCAAATCCAAACTCTCCCCTTTAACTTCATTATTATGCTCCAAAGCAGGCACCTATAATGCAAATTACCGTTATAAACTAACACAACAACAAGAAAAGGTAAATTTGCTTAAAATTTGTGTCATTTGACCGTTATATCAAAACTCTATAGCTGTAGTGAGGGTTGAGGAATATAATTTTATACTCTAACATAACTATAAAATTTTACCATTCTTTATAGCATATTAATACAAATTTTGGTTTTAGAAATAAATTAGGATTGGTATTTTGGGTGTATAAATGATTTTGGAAAACTGTGGGTTCAAAAATAAATAATATTTCGGAGAAATTAATAAGAAAATGTTATAAGTAATTACCTTGTTTTCAGGGTACAACTTCTCCTTGTACCAATTTGGCCTATTTTGGAGGTCAATTGGGACCAATTTTATCTTCTCTTGCAAACCCTGATCCCAGAATTTACATAAACAAGAAAACCCAAGTCAGCATTTTCATTAAATTTCAGCGAAATGCTAAAATAAAAAGTGATAATTGAGTAGACGGGTCTTTTTCACCTTGTAGTTCCTTGTGATCCAAGTTCTTTGGGCAAATGGACATGTGTAGGATACATACAACCTTTATATTCGAAAACAAGCAAACAAACAACAAAATATCAATATAAAAATTAAGAAAATACCCATACTTCATGGAGAAAACACTGTATATATATCTCTCTCTCTCTTTTTACCTTGTGGTTCCATCAAAGAGAATAGGTGGATCCGCAGAGGCATCAAGAATAGAGGGAAGTTGCTCGATCATGTTGCTACGAGTAACGTAACTAAAATAAAGCAAAATGCTTAAGAAATAAAAAGTTGGAGATAATTAAAGAAAACCCAGAAAAACTTGATAGAATCAACCGCTAAGAACTCTAATGGTGAGGGAATGTTTAGAAATGGGCAGGATCTTATAGTAGCCTCCCGCGCTGGCAGCCAAATTAAAAACTCAATTTATACGCGCTAACGAATTTCGTGAATATTCAAACAAACCATGCCATCGCACGACTGACGTTCGAATACTGTACCTGGCCTCGTTCGTGGGCGGGATTCGTTGCGGTCCGTGCAAGAGAAGACCAAGACAACGTCAAGGCCCAACGGCTTATATTAACGAGAGTATTTGTCACGTTAATAACGAAGAGTATTTGTTTAACGAGAGTATTTGCCACGACGCACGTGCCGAAAATATCCAAGTGAGGTCGCATTCGCCGACGCCTTTGTCGTTATTTTTAGCTTCTAAACTTGCACAGTTAAAAAATATTTGGTGGACTGGACTTTCCTTTTTCTTGTTATTTTTAAACTTCGAAACTCCATTCTGAAAAAAAATTTGGTGGACTGGACTTTGCTTTTCATTTTCCTTTTTTTTTTCAACGGACGACTGGACTTAGTCCGAAAGCTCGAACAAAATCACAACAAAAGCGCATAATTAACCATGAAGTTTCGTTGTACATAAATATTTCATGGTTTGAACTTAGTCCCTCAGACCATTAAATTTGCTACTACATCTCTATATTCTCATAAGTTGTTTCAGATTAATATTTTTAATTGCTACTTCTACTCTTGAATGGAGGGACTAATTTCAGAATAACTTAAGAATGAAGGGAGCTAATAACAATTAGGATGATTCGAGGGACCAATCTCAAACTAAATTAAAATTGGGGGATCTACTAACAATCTTAGTGATTTGAGCCTTTGAGAGGCTAATTTTAGATTTTGAAAGCTTAAAATTAATGTGTGGACTCTCCTAATATCTCTTCTAGGTGTGTGGGGTGCTGACGGAAACTATGTGTGATAGACACTAGCTTTTGGTCTATATCTTTGGTTGCGGTTATAAAACTAGAGGAAAATGCTATGAGGTCCCAACATGAAAAGGGAATGTGAGTGAGCCTCAACTCAAATTTGTTATGTGCATAGCCCCCAAATTGGCTTACCATTCATTCTTAAGCCTCAATTGCTCATTCAAGTACTCATTGAATACTGTTTTTTTGTGTAAAACCCAAAATTACTCCTCTATCTTTTCATGTAATGATCATAACCCCTCTTCACTTCTTCCTCTCCTTTTACTCATCCTTCATAATGCCAAAAAGTTCTATACTTTATATGGTTACCAACACATCAACTTCTGAAGGGATATTCCTACATGTTGATTCCTAAACCTAGTTAATGAGCCTAAAGTTTGAAGTGCCAGAGAAATTAAAAATCTCATTTGATTCTGTCTCTAAAATTCAAATCTGCAAGGAATAACAACTTCACAATTGTTATTGAAAATGAAGAAGACATGAATAATATGATTAAGTATAGTCTTTTAAATGGATATACATATATCGATCAGTACGCTAATGTAATAGAAGCGGATTCAACTTTCCATAACACACATAAAGTGCCATAAAAAATATATAAGTAAAAGCATTCACATTCAGAAGTTCGTTATAAAGTTTATTCTGTATATGTCACTGCTAAATGTAAGTTGTTAAGCTTAGGTCTTAGTAGTGAAAATATAAGCAGTAGATGTGAAATATTTGATGTTTTTATTCAATAAAATTGTATTGACAGTTGTTTAAAAGGAAAAATAGTTGACAAAACATATGAGCCATTTGTTAAGGGTATGATCGAGTTGTTAGTTATACCAATCAACTGCTAAACATATGTTCCAGTCATTATATATATGAAATAGTTGTTAACGTTATGGGTTAGTTGTTAGGGTTATATGTTAGTTGTCAAGAATAATTTATTTTATAATCATCTAATTCTATGTTTTTCAATATCGACACTAGCATTATTATAACGCTGTTATCCCAATGCAAATTGAATACAGCAACTAATCCCTATATTTCTAAGAAAAATCGTAAGGACGATCTATCTTGAGATGTTGTTATGATGATTGAAGTCATGATTAATAGGACAAGCAAGATTCATGTAGAGTGGCACACATCTATATGTGAGGAGGGACAAAAATTTGAAAGTGCAACAAAAGTTAGATTAGCATTAATCTACTATTGTATAGCGTAAAGGCTTGAATATGAGCTTGAGAATAATAAACTAAGATGTATGAATTTCTTGCTGATATAAGATCACATATAAATGTCCATGGATGTTATTTTTCTCTCCTATTTGAAAAGGAATGACTTTCGCTTTAAAGAAATTCAAGAATACTCATGCTTGTGGTCAACATGGCGCTAATGTAGGCAGACAAGGGCATCCTACTGTTAGGTCAAAAAATTAAAGTTAATTGATTCTTGTTTTAATAGATGAGTTCGATCGCTTAGTATGAATCCCTTACAACCACTCACTCTTTCGATTACAGAGTAAGAGAAGATTAATTTGACTTCTCATTTGTTTAAAAGTGGGTTCTTGAAGGCAAAAGGATGCTTCTCTCGATGCTCAAGCCGAGATTGCTTCCCGTTGACGATCAGATCAAGATCACAAAAAGCTTCTGATGGTGGCTCAGATCACGAGAATGCAGACTCTGATCTCTCTTCACGCGGTCGCCAAAAATCTTCCCCAAAAATCCAAAAGTCCAAAAGTCCCCTCCTTATAGTTGCTTGCGGCTATTTATAGAGTTTCAGCACGTAACTGACGTGCTAAAATTATGGATAAAGGGCGTAACTGACTCCCCCAATTCAGCCCATGTTGGTTAATAAAGTGTAACATGCTCCTAAAGTTTAGCCCACGTGGCTGACTAGGTCTTCGGAGCCGTTACAGCTGAATCTCCCACGGCCGACAAGCCTCGCTGCCTGACAAGGTTCGTCAGATCAGACGAGCCTCAATACACAACAAGGTTCGTCTAGCAAGGCAGACTTTGCAGTATAGCGAACTTCTTCTGACGATCTTTGTCTTTACTAACTTCGTCTGACGAGCTTCGTCTTCACTGATAAGCTTCGTCTTCATTGATTCGTTTTAAATCTTGTTTCCAACGACAAGCTTTGTTGTTTGAGACGAGGTCTGTCATTATAATGACCCTCGTCATGCTTGTTATGAGCTTCAACACTCCAAGGCCAAATAATTAGCCGATGATCTATGAAGATCCTTAAGAGTGGATGAGACATAGGCTTTTTGACTAGCCTCTCAATCTCCCCCCTCCTTTCATGTTGATCATGCATATTTTAGGCTTAGGATCATTCTGGAGTGAGTTAATAGCTTTAACTCCCCTTATAATGAGGGAGTTAGTGGTCATTAACTTCAATTTAAATGGATGAATTAGTTGTCATTAACTCTCCCTAAATAGGTGAGTTAGTGGTCATTAACTAGGATTGTCAAATGGGTGGTTTTGATTAGGTCTTGGTCGGGTCATAAATGAGTGGACACATTTATAACCACTTAACCATTTATGACTCATTTAGCATTTGCTAAATGGGTCACTTCTTATCCACACATTTACTAAATGAGTGGTTCATGGGTGACCCAATAACCCATTTAGTTATGATGCTTTTATATATAGGTAAGTTTCAGTGATCTACTTGCAAACTCTCAGGGTTTTTTTTGTAAACTCTCAAGGATTTTTTATAAACTTGCAGGGGGTTTTGGTAAACTTTTAGGGGGTTTTATGCAAACTTTAGGGGGTTTTCTGTAACCTTGCAGGGGGTTTTCTGTAAACTTTCACCAACAGTAAAATCAGTATTAATATTGCCAATAAAATAACCATCGTATGAGCACAATCCCTAACTTTTAAATCGCTACCAATGTTCGATAGATAACGAAAATCAAAATGTGAAACGCTAAGATCCCAAGTTTTATACACAACATTAGGACTAGTAAACATTATATAGATCAACATGTGCTGCAAGAGATTGGCCTTTTTAGTCCATTGCCTATCGAACAATAACCACCACAAGATAAATTAAAACTGGATGAGAGTGAAAGGTGCGGTTGATCTTAGGCTTTTCTTAAACTACTGATCGTTCTCAAACTCATGCATATGATCGAAAAGGTAGTTTGTTGTCATCTCTTCGTTCTTGTTGCAGGCAAAGAACACTTGCGGTACAAGAGCTCGAGCAAATCCCATGGCCTCAAGCTGCAACATTACATGCAATTTAAAAGAAATTAGCCTCTATATTAAGCATCCAATTCAACAACAATGTGCTCCAAACAAATAAAAGAAATTAGCCTCTATATTAAGCATCCAATTCAACAACAATGTGCTCCAAACAAAGAGATGTATCAGAACACACTAGAGCTCCTGCCAAGAAGAATGTGCTCCAAACAAAGAGATGTATCAGAACACACTAGAGCTCCTGCCAAGAAGCCACTATGTTTGCAACAATGTGCTCCAGTAAGTTGCCCCTTGTATTTTTTTGCAAGAGAAATTTCGGAATGAAAACATTAAAACTTTCATTGAACTGACGCAGGCTTGGTCATTCACTCACAATGCCCGTGTTGTATGAGAAGTATGAAGACACAATTGACGGATTTGTTACATTGGCACTAATAAAGCTGCACATGTATGAGCTAGTGTATGAAGAATGCTTTTGCAAGGCTAGGGAGTGGATCATTGAAGAACTGAAGGAAAGCTGATGGTGGTGTTGAATGTGTTTACCGATCGTTAGGCTTTGAGATTTTTCCAGGAAGCAATTCCTTTGTTTGGGTTTTGTGTGCAGTCTTTGGTAGTACCTGTTGAATTTAACTACTTTGTTTGTATAGGACAGGAGGTGGAGGAGTTTCTTTCGTCATCTCCTCCGTGTAGCTACTTATGTGCTTTGGTTACTATCTTTAGTTTAAACCAGTTTGTTGAATGCAATGAAGAATCCGATTTAAAGAGAAAAGTTAGCTGGAACACTAAAATGTGAAAATCATTATCAGTGACATTGGAGGAGTTTAATATTTGGATGATAATATGCTTGACCTGTTTATTTATATGGTCCATGAGGTACGCTATTTATTTCCCCTTAAGAG